TCAAATCCAGACTCTTGGGGGAATTAGCTGGATGGTCAGAAGCAAGTTGCTCCAGCCTCTGACTCTCAAAGAACCTCAAACACAAGTGTCAGCGCAAAGCGAGTCCCCGGGCGCACCTAGTGTGGGCGAATGTTCAGGAAATACCAGCCTTCAAGACTATGAGAAGGAAGAGCATGATAAACTCTCCACAAAAGACAAGAGGCCAATACTGAAATGCTGTAGAGTTAGGTCAGAGAGACAGTCCAGTGGGTCGGGCACTCACCATGCACGCAGCCAACGGGTTTGATTCCCCGACCCTGATATGGTCTCACTAGGAGGGACCCCTGAGCACAGAGCCAGGAGTTAGTAGCCCTGGCCACAGCCAGGTGTGGCTTACAAAACTCCAAAAATTAAAAAAAAAAATGAGGTCTCAAAGAAACTCTGGTACATCTACACAATGGAGTACCATGTAGCTGTTAGAAAAGATGAAGTCATGAAATTTACATACAAGTGGTACTACATGGAAAGTATCATGTTAAGCGAAATAAGTCAGAAAGTGAGGGATAGACATAAAAGATTGCATTCATCTGGAGAACATAAAGTAACAAAATAGGAGACTAACACCCAAGAGTGGACGAGATTAGTACCAGGAATTTTGCTCCATGACTTGGAGGCCAGCCACACATGCTAGGGGAAAAGGGAGCTCAGATAGAGAAGGGAGCACCAAATAAAGGGTGTTGGGAGGATCCTCCCAGGATAGGAGAAACATGCTGAAAGTAGACTATAGACCAAACATGATTGCCACTCAATGCCTCTTTTGCAAACCACAACACCCAAAAGGAGAGAACAAAAGGGAATGTCCTGCCACAGAGGCAGGGTGGGGTGGGGGGATGGGGGGTGGGAGGGATACTGGGATCCGTGGTGGTGGAAAATGGGCACTGGTGGAGGGATGGGAACTCGATCATTGTATAACTGAAACCCAAGCACAAAAATTTGTAAGTCTACAACTGTACCTCATGGTGTTTCACTAATAAAAATTAAATTTAAAAAAAGTATCAAAAAAGAAGGAAGTGAGTAACATATAATAAACTCTGAACTTCCGCAGAGGAAGGGTACCAAAGAGGGCACTGGGGCAGGGAAACAAGAAATATGTCAGAGAGAGATCACAAAGGGGGGGCCCAATGCATCCAGCAACGCCCTAGTGACAGACAGCTCAGGGGAGGCCACAAACCCAGACCACGAAGAAAGTGCCCTGAGGGTTTACAAAACTGGGTTTCCCCAACTTCAGAAACATCAAAATCCCTAACTAGAGGCTACTGCATAGACCACGTGCCAAATTCTACGCTTGTCAAATCCCAAACACTCCCCTGCTTTTTGTTGTTCTTATTCTTGCTCTGGGCCATGTAGCATCAGGAATTTCTTTTCAGCATGGAGTGTGTGTGGGTGTGTGTGGGTGTGCGTGTATGTATGTGTTTGGGGTGGGGGGAGCACCTGGAAGTCCTGGGGGAGGAGCCTGAGTGCCAGGGATGGCGCCCAGGGCTGCCACCTGCAAGCCACATGCCCACACCTTCCCGCACCCTTGAACATTTTTATCAGTAATTCCTGCCCCACAATATGCATTTAGGTGGAGCTCCTAGAAACTGCTTCGATCCCAGATTTGACAAGGTAAATGAGAGGGGTCAGAAATGATAGTACAGCGTGTGGGGCATTTGCCTTGCACACAGTCAACCCGGGTTTCCATCCCTGGCATTCCATATGCACCAGCAGGAGTAATTCCTGAGTGCAGAGTCAGGAGTAACCCCTGAGCATCACTAAGTGTGGCCCAAACCACCCCTCCCCACTGCACACACATACACGGCAAATGCTAAAATTGTAATACTTTTATAATTTGACATCTTATTATCTCATTCTTGCTTTGGACAACCTGGCAGGCTACCGAATGTAACCTACCCACATGGCAGAGTCTGGCAAACTCCCCGTGGCGTACCCAATATGCCAAATACCAGTAACAATGATGGGTCTCATTCTCCTAGCCCTGAAAGAGCCTTGAATATGGCACCTTTTAAAAAAATCTCAGGATTAGGACGAAGGAGACATTACTGGTGCCTGTTCGAGGCAATCGACGAACAACAGGATGATCGTGATCGTGATAATTTGGCTACAAGCTTAACTGACTGCAACTAAAATTAAAACAAGCCAGAAACGGTACCATTGTAATGCAATACCATTATAGATCGCAACTATTTTGAAGTGGCACTAATTCTGAGGTGGAGGGTTTGGCTCAAAGGACAGAGCACAAACTTGGCATGCAGGAGGCCCGGGTCCAATCCCTGGCACCACACACCATCCCCCAAGCACTGGCAGGTGTGAGGCGAGACCCAAACAAAAAGGATGCAAACTTTACTAGGCATCTCAATTTGGCCCTTGACACTGAAAAAGAAAAAAAAAACTATTTGAAGGGCAGGGCACCAAGCAGTGCTCAGGGTTTACTCCTGGGACAGTGCTCAGAAGTCACTCCTGGCAGTGCTGCCTAGGTGGTCCTGTGATGGAACCAGGATCTGCCGAGGACAAGGCCAGGACCATCCCTCTGTCCTAAGCTTTGCATATTTTTCCTTTGCAGATTTTACCTTTGCAGAGTGCAGTTTTCTTCTTCCAAGGCCTGTAAGTGAGAACAGTGTCCCTACCGAACAATGCCACATTCCCTATGCTAGGTTTAACTCTCCTAGAGACTGAAACTGCAGAAAACAGGTCCACTCCATGGGGCTGCAGCTTACAGTCACTGCCATCAAGAGAAATCACTGGATGCTCAGATTTCCTCTTTTTACCCCAAATCTCAAAACAATAATACTAATAAAGCACCATGACCCTGTGGTTGAACAACCTTCAGTAAAATGCCACTTCAGGAGACCGCCTTTACTTAAGCAAGAGAGACCAGAGTAACCACACGGTCCTTTCGGAAACCTCAGCGTCTCCATGAGTTCACTGAAGTTGGCTCTCCTCAGTTTCCCTGCCTTTTGCCATGCGTGCAGATCTCAGAGAAACAAAAGTCACTGTCAACAGCATGACCCTCCTGCTTCGAAGGAAGGAAGTCAGATACAATAAAAGATTCCCAAGACACAGGGCAGAGGGATAGTACAGTGGGAAGGGTGTTTACCTTGCATACCCCGGCATCCCATACGATCCCCAGAGCACCATCAGGAGGAATTCCTGAGTGCAACCCCTGAGCATCACCAGGTGTAACCCCATCCCCCAAGAACTAAACATTCCCAATATAGATGCTCTCAGAAAGACACCAACGTCTATAGCACCTTCAACAAAAACTAGCAAAAAGGACGATTATTAACATTCTCTTCAATGGCATACTTGGGATTGGTTTTAAAAATACTCTCGGGGGAGATGGGGGAACAGAAAGATACTCAATGAGCTGAGGACATGCTTGACATGTAGGAGGCCCGGGTTCGATCCCCCACCCAGTCCCCTGAGCATCACCAGGACCAACCCCTGAGCAAAGAGCTGGGAGTAGCCCAGAGCACCACTGGACCCAGACCACAAAAGAAAAATAAAATACTGGGGCTGGAGCAATAGCACAGCGGGTAGGGCGTTTGCCTTGCATGCGGCCGACCCAGGATCGATTCCCAGCATCCCATATGGATCCCTGAGCACCGCCAGGAGTTATTCCAGATTGCATGAGCCAGGAGTAACCCCTGTGCATCGCCGGTGTGACGCCCAATAAATTAATTAATTAATTTAATTAAATACTGTAGGAGCTTATCACAAGAAAAAAACTAACTCTATAGGTTGATGGAGGTTGACTAGACTTAGCATGATGATCATTTGCACAATATATAAAATGTCAAATCATTCAGTCATAAACCTGAAACATACAGTATGTTATATGTTAATTAGACCTTAGTACAAATAAATAAGATACTCCAGGGGAAGGATAAAACCATGGGGCGATAAAGCAATATTGACAGACCCCTAAAAACCACCGAAGCCAGAGCACAGCAAGCTCAATATGTTCTCCTTTTGCATATGTTTGAAATTTTCCATAATGAAAAGTTAAACAGAATATCCTTTCCAACAAAAACACAAACAAGATGTTTTCAAGTCAGCTTAAATTTGGGTTTGCCACGATCTCAACCTCGAAACCTCGAAACCTCCGAAGCACCATAGAAGGTTACTCTAATGTAGCATTTTCTCAGTCTCTGAAAGTACAACTCCCGGACGATGCCGTACCCAACAGGGCTCTTCCCTCGGCCCCCAGCAATGCCTCCAAGTGGACGGCACCCCCAAGTTCACTTTTCCTCCCAAACACCAAAATCCCGATGTCAGACAACCAAGGTGGTCTTCATTATCACAGATCAGGACCTGTGAGGATAAACTTGAAGGAAGCATTTGCCAAACTCTGCTTCACTAATGAACCGGACACGAAATGACTTTTTAGTTGATGTCTATCAGTTTGAATCAAAGAAACAAAATAGGGCTGGACACGTGCACTAGAAGAAGTTAAGTAGAAGGCCCCAAACTCCATCCCCGTCTCTGCAACAATCAACAAGTCACAGACTCAGCCACGACAAAAGAAAGACGCTCTGTGGGGTTGGAGAGAGTCCACTGGCTTACACGTGTATCTTGCATTCAGGAAGCCCCGTCCAACCCTGGGCACCACGCAGTCCCTTGAGCTTCACTGAGGGTCACCCAGAACACAAAGCAAGAAGAGTCACTGTTCGCCACCAAGTACAGTCCACAAATCAGACAAAAGCCCGTGAGAATTAAGCCCCACTTAACATCGCGTTTTGAGCAACATGAAAATAGGCTCTAACGAATGACAACTGTGACTTTAAAATTATCCTACTTGTTGACGAATAAAATATTCCAACAAATTCAGGACAAAATACCTTCCGAGCTTTGGAACAAAATGAGGAATCCACAACTAATGGTGAATGAAAATGAAGCCATCCCAAGCACGGAAGGGAAAGGAAGAACATTTGGCAAACATCTTATTAAACGATCACCCTTACCAGAACTTTGTTCTCCACTTTGTCTCCCTTCACTTCCAACTTGACTTTCTTCTTCACCGAAATTTTTATCTTCCTGCCAATAACATCCTTTATGCTTTCTGAAAGAAGGAAAACAGGCTCGTTACACTCTTTCATTAAGAAGGGGGAAAAGCAGGGAGGACAAGAGGAACTGGAGGAATATTTGGGGATATCTGTGTTGGGGGGAATGAGTGTCTATGTGTATGTCTTGTTAGGACAAGCCAGGCAAGTCATCAATTACCAAGTATTTAATGAACACCTACTTTGTGGCTTGTTCTGTAGACTCAGACGCTGAGGCAGATATAAAAGCATAAAACAGATCAGTCTATACAAGGCATGACATGCTCTTGCTGGGAAAACAAGAAGCGAGCAAGCAATGTGGGGCAGGATCTAGACCACTATCTCATGGACTGACTGTGGGCTCGGGGAGATGGCTCCAGGGGCTGACTGCATACTTCGCATCCTGGAGACCCAGGCATTTTTCCGACCCCTAAGCGCTGCCAGGAGTGACCCCCAAGCACAGAGCTGGGCCCCTGAGCACTGCCAGGTAGGGATCCAAAAACCAAAAATAAGGAAATCAACAAAGATCGTAAGCACAATCGAAATCCATCACCTCCCTGGGCCCCGGCCGGTTGGTCCACTCTGGCCCTGAGCAAGCGCACAGCGGCATACAAATACTATCTTCTCAAATGCCTTGCCATGAAGATTGGGACACAGGGCCGAGCACCAGAACTGAGAGGACAATTTAGCCAGGGGAGGGTCTCCTGTCTCCCAAAGCATCACAGCACCACACTGCAGAGTTGTCAAAAGCAGTGGCAACAAAAGTAGAAAGAGAGTATGGGGAATATTCCCTGCCAGGAAGGCAGGGGGAGGGTGAGAAAGGGGGGTTATACTGGGGATGTTGGTGGTGGGGAATGTGCACTGGTGGAGGGGTGGGTGTTTGATCACTGTGTGATTGTAACCCAAACATGAAAGCTCGTAACGATCTCACGGTGATTCAATAAAATCAAAAAAAGGGGGAAAAAAAAAAGGAGTGGCAAGGAGGCACTTGAAAATCTGTAGCTGTCTCCTGTCTCAGAATCCTATTGGCTGAATGTACAGTCAATACTACACAGACACAGGAACTGCCACAGGTCTCCTGATGTCCACGGACTCTACTGGGAGCTGAGAAAGGGCTGCCTAGAGAGAGTTTATCCATGGACTGGAGAGACAGAACAGACAGGAAGGACCTGGGTTTCATCCTGGGCATCCCCCCTGGTCCCCTGAGCCTGACAGGACTGATGCCTGAGTGCAGAGGCAGGAGTAATTCCCAAGCACCGGCAAGTGTAGTGCAAAATTTTTCTTTAAAATAAAAGAAAAAAGAATAAAATTTAAAAAAAGAGTTTACAGTCTAGTAGAGGTACTGGATGAACACCATTAAAGGAACCCGCACCCATAACTCGGGCATCAGAGGTAGCAGGACACCCTTAGGGATTTGGAGAAAGAGCTGAATCTTTGAAGGAGGAAATGGATCACTGCTTTCCCTAAGAGTACAAAGCAATTCACTGAGGCACAACAGAGGGGGAAATGGCACCACTTTCACTTCACCTGGCAACACGTGTTTCGTTTCTATTCAATACACACTCAATGCTGCACGTCCGTAGTTGGACAAGGAAAGATAAGGTCCCTGACGGGTGATCAGGGTGAACTGCACAACTAAGTTTGGAGCTAGCAAATCAGATAAGAATGCAAAGGGGAGGACAGGGCATTGTCCACACAAGAAAGCAGTTCCTTCATAAATCAGCAAGGAGGTACAGTGTGTATGTATGGGGGGGGAGGGGCATGCCCAGGGATGTGAGCTCGCTGTTCTCGGAGTCTTTGTGCAGTTCCCAATCACCAGGCCAGGGCTAGTCTCCTAAGAGAAGGAAAAGCGCATCTGCAAATGGCTTGAACGGTCCCGACTAGGAGGCAGCGGCCTCTGCTCTGGTCACGGTTAACTGTGGCAGCTTCTCTGTCCTCTGCGTGTTTACATTTTGGTAATAAAAGCCTGTGTTATTTTCAGAACCGCAAAGACATTTTTAGCTTCGGGGACTATATCGCGGTTGTTTCATGTGGCTGCCATTTTGAACGGGTCCAAGAGACAGGCTGTGAGCACTTGAACTGGAGCCGGAAGTTGGCACAGGAATTGCCCCTATCCTAGCCTCATCAGACCACTCAAAGTGGAGTGGGGAGGGTACTGGACCCGTCACATCCCACCTGTCACATGGGACGTTCAGTTGAAAGACCCGTGAGCTGGACAAGATTCTACACCAACATTCCACTTGTAGATAAGGGTCAGATGCAACTTTTCAAACACAACCCGGGCATTTATTCCCACAGCCAGCCCACTGTCCAGGCATCTTATCTCTGCTCCATCCTTCACCACTCCTTCTCTTGGGTCGAAGTAATTAGTTACTCAATTTCTTGTTGCCAGGCTCAAGGACAACTCATTCAAGAATCTGCCTCCCTCGGCAAGTTTTCCTTACTTCCCAGATTTCGGCAGGCTTTCCCCAAAACTCTTTCTCAGGACTTGGGGGGTGGGGAAAGGGGGGAGGTGGGGGATTCTGATTCCTTCTGGGTGCTGGACCACTCTGCAAGTCCCAGATCTGGAAGAATCACTATTCCCTACTCCTGCAGGGGTGAGGGGTGGGGAGTGGGGAAGTAGCTGAAGGGGTAGACACCCAGAAGTGGGGAACTCAGAGGAGACCCCAGTAACTTCATATCCTAAATCCGGGTAGAGATTACTCTCTATGGGCTGCGTTTTTGGTTTCCTGGGCTTTGTTTTTTGGTGTTTTTTTTTTAACTTTAACAAAACTAGAAACTTCCTAAGCAGCTTCGTGACATCAAGTTTGACCTGCTCTGTGGTCACTGGAGGGGGAGCGGTCAGGAACACCAGCCCACCATGCATCTAAAAGAGCCAACGAAGGAGATGCCCCACGTGCGGGTGCCTGGTGGCCCTCCCGGCCAGTACCAGAACCACTGACCATCATCTTGGCGGGCTCCAGGGCGCCAGGGCCGGGTCACGGAAATATAGGTCACTGGGGCCCCAACAGGCTCACGTGCACCTAGTACCACCCCCAACACACGCTTCACTCCGGGTCTGCAGCACACGCCGCCCCCCACCTCGTTCTACTCTGCAGTTCATCCTCCTCTACCCCAGGACATAAACATCAGCCCCCACTCCAACCCTCCCGGGATCCAGACAATGGGGCCCCCAGCCCGGGGTACCGCACACGAAGAAATCACCCAGCGATCCGAGGTGGGGCGGAACCAGCAGGTTAATTATTATTAAAATAAGGCTTTTATCATTAACCCTCAATTTCCTGGCCCGACTTTGCGTCAGTCCTCCCGTAACCCCTTCGCTGCCGGCTCGCAAGGAAGCCACGCCTTGCGGGGGCTCAGACGTGCCACCAGACAAGCGCCCCTTCCTTCCCCGCCGCCCACTCCCCCACCCCACCCCACCCCCCAAGTCTCAAGTCTTAGGGGCGCTCCCAGCCGGGAAGATTTTTCGGGGGCGCTCGGGGACGCGAGCCGCGAGGCCCCTCGGCGCGCCGGGGCTGGGCTTTCCCGGACTTGCCCGAGTTTGCAGCCCGGGCAGCCCTCGCGCCCCGGACTCGCGCGATCGGGGTCCCTCCTCCCCACGACCCCCTGCCCGCGCGCCTCCCCCCCCCCAACCCGGACCCTCGCCCGTCCCCGCGGGAGGCGGCGACCCCCGGCGGCGGGGCGCAAACTTCCCGCGCCCCGCGGCGAGCCGGGCCGGCGGCGGCTCTTACCGGTCAGCTCCCGGGGCACGGCCGAGCTCTCCTCGGCCATGGTGGCCCCGTGGGGGTCCCCCCGCGCGCCCCGCGGGCTCTTCGGGCGCCGCGCCCCGGCACCCCGCAGGGGAAGAGTTGCCGAGCCGCGGGGGGGGGCCGGCGCGGCCGCTACATGACGCGGCGCCCCGGGATGCGGGATGCGGGATGCAGGATGCGGGATGCGGGATGCGGCGGCGGCTCGCGGCCCCGGCGGGATGCGAGCGGCGGCGGCTGCGGCTGCGGCTCCGGCTCCGGCGGCGGTTCCCGCCCGGTCCCCGCGGCGCACCTCGGGCCCAAGGTGCGGGCGGAAGGCGTGGGGCGAGGGCGGGCACGGCGCGCGGGGCGGGCGGCCGGGCTCCAGCCGCGCCCGCCTCCTCCCCGCGGCTCCTCCTCCCGCTCCGACTCCTCCCCGCTCCTCCTCCTCCTCCCCCTGCTCCTCCTCTCCCTTGCTCCTGCTCCTCCTCCCCGCTCCGGCTCCTCCCGGCTCCTCCTCCACACCCTTGCTCCTCCTCCTTGCTCCCCGGCTCTTCCCCCGCCACACACACGCTCCGCCTCCTCCCTGCTCCGCCTCCTCCTCGATCCTCCTCCTCCCCGATCCTCCTCCTCCTCCTCTCCTGCTTCTCCTCCTCCAACTCTTTATCGTCCCGCTCCGCCTCTAGCACGTCCTTCTCCTCCGCCGCCCCCTCCACCCCCCACCTTCAGCTCCCGCTCCTCCTCCCACTCCTCCTCCCGTTCCTCCCCCCTCCCCCGATCCTGCCATGCTCCTCCTTCTCCTCCTGCTCCTCCTCCGTCTCCTCCTGCTTCTCCTCCTCCCCTCCTCCTCCTCCTCTCGCACCTCCTCCTTCTACTCCGAGCTCCGCCTGCTCCTCCTCTCGCTCCTCCTCCAGCTCCGCCCACTCCGCCTGCTCCTCCTCTCGCTCCTCCTCCTCCTCCTCCTCCTCCTCCTCCGGGCTCAGCCCTCATCCCGAGAGCCGCCCGCCCGGCCTGACCACCCCGTCGCCCCTCCTCCCGGCTCCCTGGAACCCGCGCAAGGAGCCGGGGAGCCACCTGCTGGCCGCGCGGGGGCTGCCCGCGTCGGGTGCCCAGGTCCCGGGGGGCAGCGGGCAGCGGGCGGCGGGGAGTCACAGCCCCGCGATGCTCCCCGCAACCCCGGCGCGCTTTTTCCCGCTGAGCGCGCGCAGCCGCCGGGTCGTTGCATCAGCGTTATTAGTTTTCCCTATCGGGAAAGCAGGAGCCAGACGAAACCTGTAAACACGACGCAGATGGTGAGAAGACTTGGTTTTTGTTGTTGTTGTTTTTGTTTTTTTTTCCTTTTTGTGCGCTCAGTGGGCGCCCCGCGGCCACCCCAGACACTGCAGCCCCGAGAGCGCCAGTCCGTCGATCGCGGGGGAACCTCCTTTGAACCCCGGAGCGTTTTCCAACACCCAAACGGGACTTGCACCGGCCGGGAGGACTGAGCCTTGGGCTCCATCTCCAGGGAAAATTTAGGAACCACGTTGATGCCAGCGCACGCGAAGGTGTAAACCCATTTGGGGTGGGAAAGACAGAACGAGGTGGGGAGGGGGGAGGGAACCCCACATCTTAAATTGCTCTCGGCGAGGGAACTGGCGCAAAAGGCTAGTTAAGTGCAGATATTCGCATGTGGAGACCCGGGTTGGATTCCTAGCAACGCGCGGTCCCCCAAGGAAAAACTAGTAACAGTGCTGAGTGTCCTCGCCCTCCCCTCCGGACCCCCAAACAAAATAAAGCTCAGCCTCTGGCCGAGACCCCCTCCCCACTCTAAAACGAGCCTCTTGCCAGGATGATTCATTCCTGTTGGCTTTTCCCTCCACGCTAAGGTGAGCTGATGCAGGGTGACCTGTTCACCGGATTCTTACCCGATTCTGGGTCACCTGTTTATCTGATTATTAATTATCTGATGCTGGATTACCTGTTTTCTGGCCCAACCCTATGTTTTCTGGCCCTCCCTCGTGCGGATTTTACAGGTCTTTCAGATTTTGTAGAACAAAATCAAGTCAGACTGTTGGAAGCCCCTAGGAATGTGTTATCTGAGATGTTTTCAGAGTACTTTGTTTCCTTGCTTGTCTAGACTTTAATAAATAACCCATCTTGGGGCTGAGGGATGCATGGTTCAGCGAATAGGGCCAACCCGGGCCCTCGACACCCAATGGAGTGATTCCTGAGCACAGAGCCAGGAGTAAGTCCTGAACACTAGTGTGGGACAGAAAAGTAATGATAAGTATTAATACATAAATAAAGAGCCCTGGGGCTGGAGTGATTGGACCGCAGGGAGGAGATTTGCTTTGCACACGGCCTATCCCTGGTTCGATTCCCAGCATCCCATATGGTCCCCTGAGCACTACCAGGAGTAATTCCTGAGTGCAGAGCCAAGAGTAACCCCTAAGCATTGCCAGGTGTGACCGAAAGAGCAAAAAATAAAAAAATGAAAATGAATAAATAAATAGCCCGTCTTGGGCCGGAGCAATAGAGGATAGGTAGGGTATCTGCCTTGCAGGCAGCTGACCCAGGGTTCAATCCCCGGCATCCCATATAGTCCCCCAGCACTTCCAGGAATAATTCCTGAGTGCAGAGCCAGGAGTAACCCCTGAACATTGCCAGGTGTGACCTAAAAGACAAAATTAATTAATTAAAAATAAATAAATAGCCTGTCTTATATTGTTCTGGAGCGATAGCACAGCGGGTAGGGCGTTCGCCTTACAAGCGGCCAACATGGCCGACCCGAGTTCGATTCCTCTGCCCCTCTCAGAGAGCCCAGCAAGCTACCGAGAGTATTCGATATGCCAGACACAGTAACAACAAAGTCTCCAATGGAGACATTACTGGGCCCGCTCGAGCAAATCAACGATATTGTTCTCAGGATTTATATTTGACAAATCAACTTTGTCTCAGACTTTTAAACCACCTCAACAGGCCAGGGTAAAATAGGTGTTCCATAAACATTTATTAACTGGTTGCTTTTAAAATTATGGATCTCAAGCCTTCTATGTTTGTCTCAAAAGTTTTTAATTTCTTTAAACCGGATGGGCTGGAGCGATAGCACAGCGGTAGGGCGTTCGCCTTACAAGCGGCCAACATGGCCTACCCAAGTTCGATTCCTCCACCCCTCTCGGAGAGCCCGGCAAGCTACCGAGAGTATTTGATATGCCAAACACAGTAACAACAAAGTCTCCAATGGAGACGTTACTGGGCCCGCTCGAGCAAATCGATGATCAACGGGAGGGCCTTTACCTTTACCTTTACCTAAACCGGATATTTCCTTGATGCATTAGATATCTGTTTTATGCAGGAAGTGGAAATGCACGTCTCAAATGTATCATACATTCAAGTGGATTATCCATTCAAATGAACATCTCAAATCTATCCCCCCCATGTGAGTTTTTAGGACTTTTCTGAAACATCTGAGGAAGTTTCTAGCAATGCCCTGATGATCCCCAATGATACTGGGAACTCTTGGAAATAACATCAAAGCTGCTCTCATGTGTGGAATATTAAATATCATGAGACTCACACCCAAGGACAGTAGACACAAGGGCCAGGAATATTGCCCCAGAGTTGGAAGCCTGTCTCATGAGCTGGGGGAGAAGGCAGCTGGAATAGAGAAAGGATCTCTAAATCAATGATGGTTGGAGGGATCGCTCAGGATGGGAGCTGTGTGCTGAAAGTAGATAAAGGACCAAACATGATGGCCTCTCAGTATCTGTATTGCAAACCATAATGCCCAAAAGTAGAAAGAGATTATGGGGAAAATTGTCTGCCATAGAGGCAGGGGAGAGTGGGAAAGGGGGGGGGGATACTGGGGACATTGGTGGTGGAAGTGTACACTGGTGGAGGGTTGGGTGTTTGATCACTGAAAGTCAAACATCAAAGGTTTGTAATTGTATCTCATGGTGATTCAATTTAAAAAAAGAAAGAAAAGAAAGTCAGAAGTGGCCCATGGTGCTATAGGCCAGTGATCCAGTGAGCCTGGTTTCTTTGAAAGGAAACTGGAATGACCTTCCTGATTACAAGAAGGTGGAACGCTTGCCTTGCGCGCTGCAGACCCGGGCTCCATCCCCAGGACCATGGATTGCTCCCTGAGCACAGAACCAGGAGTGTGTGCTCCGAGCACAGCTGGCTGTAACTCCTCCCCCAAAGTCAAGAAGCCTTTGAAAGAAGAAAAGCTTGAGTTTCTCCGAAAGAATGATTTTTCACTACGGGAAGATCCTAATGGGCTCCCTCCCCGATGAGAACTTGGTGTAGATGAACCATCTTGGAGGTCAAAGGCGTTTACTTGAGGATACACGGTTCAGATCGGTTTCAGAAGAAGAGCCTGCTCGTAAGCTGCTCTCCGGGGCTTTGTAAAGGCCATTGAGCTGTCAGTCTCCTGGGCATCGTGCGAGCAGGACTGTGGCTAGGATTAGCAGCTGCAATATTGAACTGATGTCTGAAGACTGGTGTGTGTGCCCCAGTGTTGCCAGCCTTACTCCATCTACCTGCCTCCAGTTTCCTCCTTTGAACCATGTGACCGACACAGTCTTTAAATGGGGGCCCCAGGTAGGGTCCTTGCCTTGCATGAGGCCAATTCGGGTTCAACCACACTTGGTCCCCTGAGGCCCAGCAGGAGTGGCCCATGACCCCAGAGCCAGGAATAAGCCCTGAGAACTTCCGGGTGTGGCCCCCAAAACAAACAAACAAAAAGATCTAAGGACATAAGAGATAGTAGCATGGTAGCTCTGTCCTCTGGTTGTTCATTGATTTGCTCAAGCGGGCACCAGTCATGTCTCCATTGTGAGACTTGTTACTGTGTTTGGCATATCAAATACGCCACGGGGAGCTTGCCAGGCTCTATCGTGCGGGCGGGATACTCTCAGCAGCTTGCCAGGCTCTCCAAGAGGGACAAAGGAATCAAACCTGGGTCAGCCGCGTGCAAGGCAAACGCCCTACCCACTGTGCTATTGCCCTACTCGCTGTACTATCGCTCACAGGAGATAGTTCGGGGGTTAAAACGCTTGTCATGTATGGGTCCTAGTTTGATTCAAATACTTGAGCACCACCAGGAGTGAATCTGAAGGCAGAATGAGGGCACAAACACAACCAGGCACTAAATTAGAAGAATTAAATCATGGCGTCAGCGGTCAGGGGAATACTCAAC